ATTATAGGGTCTGCAAGGACCAATTCAAGTTACAAATAATTTTACTGGTTTTGCTGCATTTTAAGGATTAAGGCTTTGCCTACCAATGAACTTGCACTGGTTTAAATAGGCCAGGTTTATTAACAGAGGCAAACTCTAGGAGACGTTTTATATTATTTTGATCAACTCCACCTGAAGTCATGCCCTTGATTAACTAACTGGTATCCTGCACAGAACTGACACTTTACTTATTACAGGGTACTCTTAAAATGCACTATGACCACACACCCAAAGGGAATCTGCACAATGCAAACTGCCTTGGAAAACAATCGTATTTAACTGGTATGGACAAGGTTATAGTCATATTCCCTAGAAGTGTCCTTCTGCTAAAGATGAGGGACAAGATGCACACTTAAATCACCACGCCGTGGTGTACATGAGAAAGGTTCACATATAACAAAGGAGAACTACAACATTTTATGCTGTTTCCCTGTTTTCCCACTGCTTAAGGTTACAGAAGTGTTAACACATGGTGGTGTCAAGTATACTGAGAGCTCGTTTTGGAGAGTACTCGATTTCAAAATGAAATCTGTTCTTTTCACGTGGCAATGGCCCTTCACCGGCCTTAGTTACAAGGAAGGGCCCCATGAGTGCAGGTCTATCAGTGTCTGTGGTGGTGAAGGCCAGGTCAGGTCACTGCTGCTGTCACTGCTCTGAGCTCTCTGGTCAGTTCCCAGCTCCTTGTCTCGTTAACACAGCACATCCCAACCTGCCCGAGGCAAGATGCAGATGAAATAGTTCTAGCATTTCTGCTGCTTCCATGCAGACGTGATTCCCAGCACCAGAAAACTAGCACAGTAATAAAGACCACATGAAGGAACTCAAAATCAAATATGACAAGTACTCCTCACTGGCAAAAAGGTCAACATTTTGTTTTAAAAATATCTTTTTCCTCCAACAAATAAATGCTGTGTCTTGCTAAAAATCCCAGTAATACAAATTCACTCCAGGATAACAAACCTCTGTCAATTTAATTACTGCAAACCACACTTGCTGATAGAGACAATAAATAAGACACAGTAAGAGAGAATATTGCATAGAAGCAAAAGTATCCACAAAATACTCTAAGGTGTAAAACCTGAGGGCCAGATTCTCAGTTTTGCATATGTCAACACAAAGCAACAAAGGATTCTTCCCTTTGTGTCAGGCAGTGTCCTGGCTGCAAGATTTCTTCCCCTGTGTGCCTGTGGAGCTGCTGGAAACACAGACAAGTCACCCCTTCACCAGGAAGGAAGGAAGGAAACAAATTTATGCACAACCCAGGGGAAGCACAGGTTTTTGATATGGTGATTTGTATTTAAATAAGGTCTGCAATACCTTGGTTTCTTCTTTTTGTGTCTTCTAAACCATGAGTTCATAAAAAGGGAAAGAGAAACTAAAAGCACGTGGAAACCTCACATCCAGACCACTTTGTTCAACCTATGCCTTCAGGACAAAGAGACTTAGTAGGACAAGCTCTCAAAAGCAGTCATCAAATTTGAAAACCTGTGGCCATGAACAACTGACTCCAGTTGACACACACTGCAGTGCTACAGCAAATCTGTGGCTGCAGCTTTGTGATAGCAAAGGCTATTTTGTTTTTAACCACTATGCTGTCTTTGGTTTGCTGTGTGGCTGCTGAGATGAAAAACACAGCACTCTTTGCATCTTGCTTTCAGATCTTGCAATGCACTTTTTCTACCCCCTTTAAAGTGTAAGGAACTTTCCAGAGATAACAAATAGGTCCCACTGGGCAGTTTTATGTATTTATTTTGTCTTCCTTTACAGACAAAGACAACGGGCAAGGGAGTTCAAATGAAGCTCAGAGAGCCAAAAAGGAAACCACAGGTTTTATTTTTCTCTTCAGAGCTTATGTTTAGTGAGGCCTCATCCCTCAGCATGAGATACTCTTTTTTCATCCCTCAGCACGAAAGATATCCTGTTGTGCTCTTCTCAGCTTTTTAAATACCCCAGGTCACCCAGAGAGATCCTATAAACTCAGATAATCTTGATGCTAACTGGAAGATGCAGATAAACACTCTTTAGTTCCTCTCCAAATTTCTCAGACCTCAGGACAGATACCTGGAGATAGGATGTTCCAGTTTCAGTGGCAAAGGTAACCTCTGACAACACGCCTTGGGAATAAGTCAGATTGGTTTATCCTCTGGTGGTAGTTTTGCTCTCTTTGGTTCACAGAGCACAAAGGAGAAAGTTCTCTTCTAAACTTTTCTCCTGTTTATCCCTATGCCTCCAGCTCCCTAATTTCACCCAAAGTGCAAGATCATCACGGTGAGACTGTCAACACACTGCAGTCTTGTGAGCTCTTGTGCATCGCTCAGTGCTCAAAAGCTGTTTTAGTTCTTTTACTTCCCTCAGTCATGACTCTGCTCTTGAAGGCCCTGCAACTGCAAGAGGAGCATCCTGGAGGCACTTCAGCTTATGCTGCCTGTGAGCAGCCACAGAGGATTAACATTTCAGTTTGTGCTTCGTAACTGGGTCACGCTGTGCAGGCAACTCACAGTTTGAGTGGTATAAGGCCCTTCTTCCAAACTGTGATAAAACTGCCACTGACCTTAACAGCACAGGAATCTCCCTCCTCTCCCCAGTTCTGGGCACTGCCTCTTTCCTGACAGATTGCTGGTTTGTCATTAGACCAGGTTATAGCACTGGTGAGACTGAAGAACCCAAGTATAATAATTAACCCAAGGTCTGATTTCTGTTCCGCTCAAAGGAGGGTATCTTCCAACAAAGCTTCAGATGTACAAGCTGCTACTATAATACTCATAACAGCTTCATCCCAGAGATGAAGGTTCTTCTGTCCTTCAGAGAGAGACATAGGAAGATACAATTTCCTTCTGTGAGGCTTTTTTTTTTTTTTAGCAGTCTGACGTTTTAAACACATAGAAATGGAGGTGTTTGTCTCTCTGGACAAACTGTGAGACCTGTGTCAGGTTGATGACCCCATCTGTCTCAAAGTACATCCTCTCTCATGTGTGCCAGAGGTCTGCTCTGGGTGCTGTGTCCCACACCAGGGTGTTCCATACATGGCTGGCATGGAACTCCAGCAAATTGCTCACTGTGGACAGGAAGAAGGATTTGATGCAAAGAAGGCAAAACAATCCCTCAAACAACAGAGTAAGGGGTGCGACTTAATTTCAGGCCCTTTTATTCAGAAGGTCTTTAGCAGGGATTATTTTATTCTCCCTGCCAGAGCCCAGACAACTGAGCAATGTGTGCACCTTGCAATAAGTCAGTCAGGGACTTCCCAGAGGTCACTGAAATCCCTCACGTCTTTTCCTGACAAACTGACAGAGCTCTTCCCCTCCACCATGACCAGCTAAAACATAATACCAGATGCATCATTTACCAAATCTGTGCCACTTTAATCCAGTCTAACAGGGCAGACTGGGGCATGTCAGAGTGGGCCTTTGCCAGCCTGGGACATCACAACTGCTGCCCCAAAGAATGTGGCCTACTCCTTCATTACAAAGCTGCACAGGGACAGGAACAGGGAATCTTGGCACTAATTCAACACTTGGTCCATCACTACCCTCATCTTCTAGCCTTGGGAGTCCACTCCAGTGTCACCAGGCTTGTTAGGGAAGAGATATTCATGGTGGACACAAACAGGGATTAGACAACATCCACATCAAGACATCATCTCTCAGTCTGGGAAATACAAGCACACAAGGCCACCATGTGCTCACTGGACAGCTGAACTGTTATGTCCCTTCCAGCCCTATTAACACATGGAATTAAACTAAATCAAGAAAATTCCATTATTATGTCACAAATGTATAAAATTTGCTTTTGTTTAATGTGGTATTTGAGTTTGGAAAAAAGCCTTTGTTCTGAAATCCGATTACTGACTAACACTCCTAAGCATGTAAATAGCTAATTCCCAGATCTTCTTCTGACCTTTTCCCACAATTTCCATTAGATTTTAAACCACCAGTTTGGCAGAGTTATTTCCAAGAAAGGACTTTCACCAACCCCACCACACAAGCAGAGGTAACATATGCAGAAATAAACAGCCAGGGGCAAACTCCCTCTCACTTGGTTATTGATTTCCATCAACAGCTTTGCAACGAAAATAGATTTGGCCTTTACCCTAAACAGGAAAAATGGGAAAACCAGGTTTAACACATTGTTATACACTCCAACAAATGGACACTGAGATAACAGGGGTGAAATCCCATTTCTTGACCCAGCAGAGAGAATCTTACTCCTTGCCTCCACTTTCATCACTGGCCTGATTAGATTATCCTGCACTTCAATACAATTTCAGACACAGAACTAATTCATACTGTGAACAGCAAAGAAACATATTTATAAAAAAAGAAAAAAACCCACAAGACAGGAAAATCTCAATTTCCTCAACCCCTAAGAATCCACTCTTGGTTCTCTGCCTCCCTTCTGCCTCATCCCCCTTCTCTCATCACAACCTCATGCTTTTCTTTAGTTAAGCAAGTAAAAAAATCTTTGCCTGGAATTCCTCATTTTGTTTCTCCTCATTACTACTAAAAAAATAATCTAACACTGAAGGCAAATAGCAGTATCTGGTCTTAATGATTTTGTATCACCAGCTTTGATAGAATTTGGTTAGAGTGACCAAATATGACCACAATTCAACCCTAAATTGCATATCCACTTTGCTGCCTGCTCCAGACGTGAAGCTTCATATCCTGAATTGCCAATGCAGCAAAACACAGCATTTAATGGAAATCCTGTCATTACCACACCCACGGGTTCTGTTTGCAAAACTTGGTGTTTCAAGGCCCACGGTTTCAAAACAAGTCTGTGCTCTCAGACCCTCTGGATCTCAAGGCATCTCTACAGTCCCTGCTTTTGGATAGTAGGACCACAGTTAATTGCTCTGGAATTCCGGGTCAGGATTTTTCAGTGAATGAGTAAAGACTTCAGCAATGCAGCACAAAAAGAGAGAGAAAAAAACACCAACCTGACAAAAGTAACGAATTTACCTGGAGTATTAAGAGCATCTGAATAATAGAGGGTGGAACTCTGGCTCTGGAACGGGATAATGCATCTTCCAGCTTTATGTTGAGGGTAATAATATTCCTGAAGTGCAGCAGAGCCAGCTGCCGGACCGAGGGCTCCTTCCCCTGGGAAACACAAACAGAGCAAGACCCATCACGGGCAGTGTGAAAACAAGTTTCAAAATCCACTGTCAAAATTCCTTCTGAGTGATTACAGAAATGGCAAACCTAAATGGAAAGCCAAAGAAACATAACAAAGGCCAGGGAGCAGCCCACGAGTCTGCACAGTCAATTTGATTTGGCAGCAGTGAGGGCTATGGACAATGACTGAGTCTGACTGTGTGTGCAGATGAGGGGTTGGGGTGAGCACTGAATTATATATATATTCATATATATATTAATATTTTGTACTTAACAGTGTATCACTTATGGAATGTATCATATGTTTAAAAAAAAATAAAAAGGGTTGCAAACTTGTTGAATTTCCATTATTTCCCAAGACTTTGAGTACTGGCTGGTTGCTGTCTTCAAGTTACAGCTGGAATCCTGACTCAGTCCCCACTTGTAGGTCCCCTTTTCTCTCCAGTTTGAGAGACTTCACTACAAGGCAGGAGCAGAGCTGAAGTTCCATAGTGCATTTTCAAAGACATCTTTTTGCAGTTCAACATTACCATGTCATTGAAGAAACTCCCAGCTGAAGAACACAAAAGAATGCAACACCACCTCTGCCTGCAGAGATTAACAGCTCCTGCCTTATGAGGAGTTGTAACACTATTCCTCCTGCTGGCATTAGGGTTTTTCCTTGGGTATGTATGGCTGGTTTTGCCTGCTGTTATGAGACCTGTGAGACAAATATTAACAGCTCTGGAAGGTCTAGTATTCAGATGGTGTTGACTTACAAAGTCTGGACTAAAGAAGCCTGACTCAACCCCACCCAATTCTTTTCACTTTGTTAATATTTATACTGAAGGAGAGAAGACCCCAAATCTGCTTCAGTTGCTCATGAACAGGATTTAGAAGAGCACACAAGCACAACTTGGGCTTTGGGAAGTAACCTCAGGACGTAAGCAACTAGATCTACTTGAATTTACCTGGGACTTAGGGCTCTTAAACTCCTCAAGGTTCCTTTCAAAATTCAAGTAATTATTTCCATCTGATAGGGAGGAGAGTCATCTTACTAAAATATTTTCAAAGGCCTCAGAAACACAACACAGAAAAGGGGTGTTTGGTGCAGTTTTCAAAAACCAACTGAGTTCTAATTCAGTCAAGTGCTTTGGAAAACCAGGCTGAGAGCCTACTTATATCCAAATAACTTGGATTTAAATTATGGGGCACTTAGAAAAACCTCCCTTTGTGTTTTAGTGTGTTTTTAATACCATCTTATTTCTATTATTTTGAAGTTTCCACTGGTAAGTCACAAGTCTATGAGTGAAGCAGCCCCCATGTTTTTTGAGCTCTTCCCTTTCAGAATCAAATTCTGTGTGAAGTTGCAGCTTTTCCACTGAATTTAGATGTCATATCTGTCACTACCTGCAGATGCAAATGGTAATATTGTTAATATTTGGGCAATCATTTTAGGCACAAAGTTCACTTGGAAAAACGGGAGAAGGTTTCTGAAGTCTCCCCAAATATGCTCAGGCACCAAGCGCCCACTAAAATCTGAAGGCATCTCTGAGCAGCCCCAGAAGGTCTCTTGTACAGATTTGCTTGGGACCCCACTGATAAACAACACTTTGTGGCCACCACTGAATTAGAAGATTAAGCCTTAATCCAAATCAGATCAAGTATCCACGGTGGATTTAAAATTACTGGAGTCAAAATCTGTGCTCATCTAAACTGGTCTAACTCCACTGGCTATTGCCGTCCCCTTCCACCAGCACAGGAATTGATCTCAGAAATATAACTCCTTTTCAAAAGTGGAAACACTGCAGGAACAAATTCACTGCAGAGGAGGAAATGCATACATTTAAGTCAACACCGTTCCACTTATTTCACTGTGTGCGTATTTCAGTTTATCAGTCACAACCTTTTTTTCACTTCTGGTGTGAATTGGCAGAAGGACTAACCAGCCTCCCTGCACTCCACTTTTGTTTGTGAAGTTCCCCTTCATGTTTTCCACCCAAGCACTTCAAAACCATTTGCATAAGGAACTTATTTGCATGACATGACTACACAGAACAGCTGCACTGGGAGGTTGGGCCAAGGAGAGAGAATGAAGGATTGCATCAATCTGCTGATGAACCAGTAAAGTTGCTTTTTCCAGTTTTTCAAGATTCTATAGTAACAGAGTAATTTTTCACCTGCACAGGATAGAAAATAGCCTGAAGCATGGGCAGGACATCACTGAAGAAAAAATCCCAGGTTTCAGCTAAGGTATCCAATAGTTTCTGCCCTGCAAAAACACAAAACAAACTCTTGAAGTGTTTAGGTTGTAACCAGCTCACTGCCAAGAGTAAAACATGCAGGAAACAATGTGAATCTCCTATTAAACACTAAGATGAATCACGCAGCAGCTATTAGCAGCACTGTGAAATTAGTACCCCTTTTGGTGTATCAGATTCTTCAGTATTTGTGTCTTTTCAGGTGACACATAAAATGCTCTTAATAAATTTGGAGACTACGAGGTTAGTCAGGAAAACCCTGTGAAGAACAAAGAGTAAAAGCCCAGGCTACCTCCTCTTCTTGTAGTAGTATCCACTGGACAAGCCAGTGGAGGAGAGCAGGAGGAGCAGGACACAGCAGGTTAAACAGGGAAGGTTTTCTGCAGAGGAATCTACCCCCCAAACTCCCTCTGCCCTTCAAGCTGCAAGGCAGCAGAGCAAACCACACTCTGTGAAGATGCCCCACAAAGTGTCCCCTCAAACTGATCCCTTTGCTTCCCCATATCTCCACTTACACAGAAAACCTCACCCAGGCTCTGTGGGAAAACACAGTGGTGTTTTAGGGCTCTAATTTTTGCTGTAACACTCAAAGGACGCTGCCAGAACCCTGAGCTCCCCAAGGAACTCACAGCCAGGCCACCTCTTTGTCCATTTGCGCCCCAGCTGCAGCCACCTGGCAGCCTCCCTAGGGGAGGCTGGAGAAGCTCTGGCCAGGTTGTACAACCAGTCTGGACACTGGGTTCCTCACAGAGTATTTTGTAAAACACAGAAGCAAATGCAGGAGTCCAGATCCACAGAGAGGAAACCTGGTGCAACAGCTGGATGCTGGCTTCAAATCCCTGCTCCCCAAAATGGCTCTGTGACTTTGGACAAGCTCTTTGTCATCCCTGTGCCTCAAAACCAACTGTGAAGGGAGAGCAATGCCCCTGCACCTCCACCAGCACTATGAACACACCAATGATTATGAGGCTTTCAGATGAGACAATATGACTTATCAGCAAAGTAAATTCAATAGCAATCAATCAGTATTACTGTTGGTGTCAGAATCAGATACTATTCTTAAGTTTCATATTAGAGCATTATTCTGGGCCTCAGCCAGGGAACATTTTGCCCAGAATTACACACATATCACAAAGCAACTATGCATGAAAGCATCTCCAGTGCTAACTGCAAAGTTAGCCAAGTGTCAATCTTGATTATGGGATACTTGATCCCCCTGCATTTTTAAGCACATGACGAACAGCATCAGCTCTGGCCCATCTGCAACTCCTGAATTATTCCTGGGCTGCTGACTTTAAGTGCTTTCAGTGACAAATGTGGATCACCATGCTGTACTGCAGCTGCTGGCTGGTGCAGCACGCCAAGATCCTCATTTCTGCACCACTAGGCAGGAGTTCTCTCTGTCCAACACACTCATGTGCAGCACTGAAGAGGGTGTTCTCTGTTTCAGGTTTTTAGAACTTTCAGAAAGCTTCTCTTCCAATAGTTCTAATGAAACACAGCATGGAACCAAGTCCAAAATTGCCTGGGAACTGTAGCAGTAATAATAACTACCTGTGCTGGTTTTGGCTGGGCTAAGGCAATTTTCTTCCCAGTGGCTGGTAGGGGCTGTGCTTTGGATTTGTGCTGGAGCAGTGCTGCCAGCACAGGGATGTTTCGTTATTGCTGAGCAGGGCCTGCACAGAGCCAAGGCTTTTTCTGCTCCCCCACCCCACCAGCGAGGGGCTGGGGGGCATGAGGAGCTGGGAGGGGACACAGCCAGGACAGCTGATCCCAGCTGGCCACAGGGACATCCCAGACCATGTGGGGTCATGCTCAGCACATAGAGCTGGGGGAGAAAAAGGAATGGGAATGTTTGGAGTGATGGTGTTTGTCTTTCCAAGGCAATGTTGTGTGTGATGGGGACCTGCTCTCCCAGAGATGCTGAACCGCTGACCAACCATGGGAAGTGGGGAAGGAATTCGTCATTTTGCTTTGCTTGCATGCATAATATTTGCTTTCCCTATTAAACTCTCTTTACTTCAACCCATAAACTTTCTCACTTTTACTCTTCCATCTCCTCCATCCCATCAGGGGGAGTGGGAGAGCAGCCATGTGGGGCCAAGCTGCTGGTTGGGGTTAAACCACGACAAAACCTTTGCATTTTAACACCCAAATACCAGTGCCTGAAACACTGAAGTGTTTCCAAGGTACAAATCTGATCATGAAGAAGAAGCCCGACAACTCCACGCCTCCAGGGCACAGTTTTAAAGAGTTAAACATGTTAGTTGCCCACAAGTTGAGGTTAAGTAGAAACTAAGCCCTTACAAATCTGGTCCTTTTCAAATCTTGCTGCTAGAACTGTAGGAAGTCAAATTACCCTGGAGAGGAAAACATGCCTTTACTGTCACACACTTATCCCACCTTGTGGGCAGCTTGTTTTGTGAAGTGATGGATTTCTGTACAGCAGCTCAGCAGGGCTGCAGAGTTAAATGCCTTAGGCAGGGCAGGACTTTTATTGAGGGCTGTGGAAGAATTCCCATGGTTTGTTGATGATTTCACATGAAGGAACAGGACTTACATGTCCCTTCAAGAACACATCTTTTTTACTATCAGGCAAAGATCCCTACATTTACGATAAGCATTTGCTGGATTGCAGGAAACTGGGTTACTCTAAATGCTCATTTTAATGAAGCACAATATAATCAATATTGTATGACATAAAAAATGTGTGCAGTGCTTTTCATAGGGCTTCTAAAAGTTAACTGAAACTCCTGAAAGAAATGTAAGAATAAATAATTAGGTATTAGGAAGAAATCCTTCCCTGTGAGGGTGGGGAGGCCCTGGCACAGGTTGCCCAGAGAAGCTGTGGCTGCCCCACCCCTGGAAGTGTCCAAGGCCAGGGCTAGTGGAAGGTGTCCCGGTTTAATCCCCACCTTACCAGAATTTCTGACTGTATTTTAAGGGGGCAATCACAAAACGACACACTAAAAAAAAACCACAAAAAAACCACAAACAAACAAACAAAAAAAACACCCAAAAAAAAAACCAACCAAAAAAAGCTTAAAGCCAACAGTTTGCTAAAATTTTGTATTTCCTAAACATGGTCCTATATTTGCAAGCCCTTAACTGGTCTCCCATTTCAGTTTTTCATCTCAGCTTCGATCTCAAACATCAGATACGGTATTTTTTATTTTCAAGCTGGTAAAATCTGAAAAAAATAGTGTTGGACCTTGCTAGGTCTCTCATTCGCTGATTTGATACTTAAAACCCAACTTTCTTTATGATTTACAAAGCAGTTGTGAAGGCCTTACGGCTCCTCTTGTGCTCTCCAAGCTGTTATTTTACACAACTGAGGAATCTGGTGTTCAGCTTAAAGAGTTTCAGTACTCTTTTTGTGGGTTCTGGGGTTTTTAATGTGAAATTGGTTCCCTTTTAGTGGTGCTCAGGGCTATTGTCTTTTCATCAGGAAAGCTGGGTCCCATAGCACCATCTTAATCTGATCAGTGGTACTGTTGGTAATGAAAGGTCACGTCCAGGATTTATAGAGAGCTGAGACTAATGGAAATGGTTGTCTCCAAGCTCCTGCTTGAGCAGTTTATTTAAACTGTTATTATGACTGCAGCTTTGAAAAAGGAAAGATGCATTTCTTTAAAATTGAATTTAACTTCCCAAAGATCTTAAGACTGTTTTCATGGGCAATAATTTCTGAAGATAATCCCAAACCATTTCACACCTGATGATGTGCAAAATCAGAGAATCCCTGAGGTTGGAAAAGGCCTTTAGGATCATCAAGTCCAACCATTCCCCCAACACTGCCAAGGCCACCACAAAACCATGTCGCCAAGTGCCACATTTTAAATCCCTCCAGGGCTGGTGACTCAACCACTTTCCTGGGCAGCCCCTTCCAGTGCCTGAACAACCCCGTTGGTGAAGAGATTTTTCCTGATATCAGATCTAAACCTCCCCTGGCTCACCTTGCATGCCCACACCTAGGGCAAAATGGCATATTTAACAGCACATCTAAATGCCACTTAATAGCACAGGACACACGCTACAGGTGACTGTAAAACAACACATCAGGTGGAGGTTTATCCTTCCATAAGGTGACACCTCCAGAAGGTGTAGACCTCTGGAATCTTCCTGCTCATTTTTTGGTTTCCTAAGAGATCTCAGTCTATTTTTCCACTTTTCCTGAACATTCAGCAGGCTATAACTGAAGGAGGTGTCCATGCTGGAGGCAATCCTTCCTTTACCCCCTGGGTGCTGCTCTAGGCAATCACCTCCCTTGATGAAAGCTCATGAGAACACCAAGGCAGGATACAACAGCCTGTAGGAATGGATTGGTAAAGGCTAATCCATAGTCCCAGGAAGATAATGGAAAGCATCCCACTGCCTCCAAAAGTCATTTGCTAACACTTCTGTGACAGACACAGCTCAAAATCCAAGTTACCTTCATAAAACCGGATCTTGTCCCTCAGGATCACCATGCCTTTTGTGAGCAGCTGATTCTGTAAATAAAATATAGACCACCTTTACTCAATGCTGCACTTCCCTACAGCCATCACATTTCACATTTTGTTCATTCTTAACTTTTGACAGTGAGGGGGGATCTTTTATTTTAATGATCAATCATCGAAGGGTTCCTCTTGTGTCCATCTTGCTTAAATCATTTGGGACACTTGTCAAATGGTGATGTTTTCAGGACAAAGCTTGTATTTTGTGCAGTACAAAGTGCTTCTCAAACTTCAAATGGCTGACTCACAAAACATGGACTCTATTTTAGAGAAACAAATAAAATATTGCTTCAACAGACAGTGGCACTTACTGCTAAATGTCTTTCCTAGCAACTATGCTACAATGAACTTCACTGGTTTACTCAGGAACTTAAAATTTAAGTTAAAAAAGAAAATGTGTGAAATCTACTGAAAGACAGCAATGTCATACAGAAGCACAGGGACAGCTCAGGCTTTCACTATCTAATTATATAAATATATATAAAATCCAAACCTTATTAAGCCACAAATGACAAAAACTCAGAGAAGCCAGTGCACATCTCTGAATGGTTTCAAGGGTCTCCAGATCAGCATTTAGAGTGGGTGACATGATTTTGCTCAGTAGCATGGAACAAAAATGGATTTAAATAAAGAAAGCACGTGCCTACCTGCAGATATTCAGTGAAAAAGGATCCCAGTTCTGTTTTCAGTAATTGCCTGTATTGAAAAGAGTAAGAAAAGAATCTGTGTGATCAGCTGTGCAGTGCACGAGAGAGGGGAAGTCATTAACAGCAAAATATTTTTGTATGAGCACAGAGCCTGTCAGTAATGACTAACTACAAAAAGGGCAAACAGGGTCAGCAAATACCAAGCCTCCCAACCAGCCTTTCTGGGTGTTGAAAAATACCTGCTGTGGTTTTAGATGGCTCAGTTGCACAAATATCCATGAAAGGAAATTTAAGATTTGATGAAAAGAGGATGCTTTCCATCCTACATCCAATCCTTTTAAAAATGCTCAGATTGTTCCCCTGCAGTGCCAGGGCTTCACTGGTGCCTGGTGACATGGGAGAACTCCTGGTGATCTCTGACTGTCTGTGGGGCTAAGCCAAAAACTGAGCATGTGACTTGCCTGTCATCTTCAAAGAGCCAAATCAACCCTGCCCTGCATAAGGGTGAAAAACAGAGCTGTGAAAAAATATTTGGAGAGAAACCCAAAGCAGGATGATACTCTGTGTGTTTTGTTGCTGGTGTGAAACTTGGCCAGTTTTTATCGGAAGGACCACGATTTTCCACTCAGGAGACCCAACAGCTTAAGTTTTACATTAGGGTTTTAAGTTAAGTTTTATATTATGGAAAAAGCAGGCAGGAACTGTACAGTCTAGCTCTGCCTTTCGTGATTCCTCCACATTCAAACCTACAAAGCAACTTTGGAGAGTAAACAAAACTCATGTGCTGAAAAAAATATCCCACAAACAACCCTCAAATACTGAAACTATATTCAATCTCAGTCCAACTCACTACATTGCTAAAAAGCTGTATGTTATTTAAGTCTCACATATTAGTTCTCTGCAGCCAGGTCACTACTTAAATGCGTAAATGACAGCTCAGACCTTACAGAAGTGCAGCCCCAGCTGGGTTTTCTGAACATGTGCAAATCTGGTCTGGAGCACTTTTGGAAACCTGCCTGTGTTACCACCTCAGGTCCCATGAAGAAATGAGGTCAAATTTGATTTAAAAGCTAAACATCCACTGCAATTAGGGTAGTAATGAAATTTTATCTTCAGGAGCTTGTTGTCTATCTCTTCATGTTATGTCTTTAACTGACAAATAACTCATTAATCAAATTATTTTACTAGTAAGCAAAGAGACATCCAACCAATCCCTGTATTCCATGAAAGTCTACAGGAGCTGGTTCTGATGTTTTTATAACAGATGCTTTGGCACAGCCTCTCGAGAACCCCTGAAAGTTCAGGGCAAAGAGGAGCAGCTCAGATTTTAGGAGGCTGAAACAGAGTATCTGATTTATTTATCCTTAAGAACATGTCCACAATGACCTCACAGCACCCTGTGGAAACACTCTAGGCAGAAATGAAAGAAAAAATAAACATAAGGAAGAGGGGGTTTGAGATGCTTAAGAGGCATCAGAATCCTTTTCAGCTAGAAACTTGATTAATTCAGACAAACTATCTACAGACAAGAATTCTAAAACCCCACTCAGGCTTTACCCACAGGTCTCTCATTGCCATGAAGAGCCATTGGATTGCCAGACCCCTTGGCATGGGAAGTTGCAGTTTTGAATTCTCCTGTAAGAGAGAATTTATTCCCAAGTCTCTCTTCATGCCACTGTTTCAAAAGAACACTGATACTCTATGCTGACATTTGCTTAGCTTCCTACCCTCTCCTCACACTGGCAGCTCCACCTGGATTCCTCACTGTCTTGAATGCAGTCTTGCAAATACCTTCCCTTTTCATATTTTAGGTTCTACTGATAATTCCTGGCATTTAGGGCAGGAAATAATAATAATAAAAATGTTCTACTTAACCAGTAATAAGTAGACATAAACCAAATAGATATACAGATAAAACAAAACCTGACCACATTTCCATTTTTTCAGCTGTGAATGGACTAAACAACCCGTTTGTAGTTAATTACATGCACTGGACACACCAAGCAGCACCATGGCCACACAACATCTCTGTTTACAGGGCAGGAGAACTGACAGTACAATTGATGCATCTTGCTTCTTGAATCCCTAATAACACAGGTACTTCAAGCTACTTAATTAATTTCTAGTGAAGCAGTGAGGCCCTCAGGCCAGATCAGAACACTGGTGTTTGACGTTCTTTGTACATATTCATTTAAAAGGGATCCACAGCAAAACTGGATCCAAGACATTGCTTGTGATTTCTTTTTCACCCTTGCTTCATTTCCTTTAAGAGGAATCAGTCAGACTGTCAGATCCTGGATAATTCCAGTTACTGACCAACCTTAGACATGTGGACATCATGGTGAAATCCAGGTGAAAATGTGACTAAACCTGAAAGAGGTCCCTGACCAGACTGCAGGTCCCATTTCAAGTACATCTAATTTTTAAACCACTCTTATGAAACTTATCTGTCATTGGCATCAGGTCTTCATTGCCTATCTAATGATTTAATAAATTAAGATGAAAATATAAATCCATATAAAACATGCTAAAATAGCTCATGACTATTTTTCTTCCTGATGCTGCTTCTTTGTTTCATTTTGAAATTAACTCTTGCAACATTACTCAGAATGGACAGCATAACACTGTATAGTAACTATTAAATAAAGTTAAGTGAAGCACATGGAAACAAGTGATTTGACTGGCTTTGAACTCTTGCTGCTAAAGAGGAAATGCCACTAAAATGTGCTTTGTTTGCATCAAATCAGTATCCTGAAACTCAGAAAAGAGGCAGCTATAAATATGTATTAGCTTTAATACAGGACATCCTGCTTCCACTGCATTTCCCTTTCCTTCCTTTTCTTCCTTGCTTTACAAGTGGTCAAAATAAACACTTTGAAATGGTACATGAAATAAAAAAGGACCACTACTGAGTTACAAGTATCATGCACTTGCACCAAGGGAAAACTAAACAATACATATATGAATGTAGATTTTTACTGCCTGACTTTTGGATCAAAAGTTACAGCAGTGTGAGAGAGACTCAAATCCCACACTGGTTTTATTGGCAACAGGAATTCTGAGTGCTGTGAAACTCCATATTTAAGGCCACTTTCTACCACCAGAGGAATGCAAGAATACCGTCAAAAGGTATAAACAAGTGGCAGCTCCTGTGAGCCAAATCTAGAAGAGAAGTGGTACTGTACAGATCTGTACCCACTGATGTTTTCTTAAATCATCAGAGTTCAAAGCCTTGAGATGTGTGCTCAGAAAAGGAAGTTTTATGTATTTATTTGCACCTATGCCATAACTGAATATACGTGACATTCCTGAGTCAAAACAATGGTGAGCAAGTATTGTTCAAATATTTACACTCAGGCTGTGAGTCCACTTGGACATTCAGGGGTTTATTATGAAAACTATTCCAGAATCTGTTGTATTACAGTGGTAAAATAAAATAACATTTTTTACTAGCCTGTAACTGTTAGAAAAAGTAACTAGCTAATATTAACCATTTACCTGAATGCTGCCCAGTTGAAAATAATGGCTGTGTGTTTTTTCATTAGGTAGTTGTGGGGGAAATGCATCTAAAACAATTGTAAGGCAAGTATACACTTGTTCCACTTCTGAGGTCTTATTAATGAATCAGATATTTTTGCACTCAATAATAACATGAACCCAAAGAAAGCTATTTTGAAATAAATAACAGTAGCAGTAGGACAGGTATTTTTTGCATGTGTCAGATCTGAAATTTCGTAACTTGGTTTTGATCTGAACTTAAGAGAGGCAAAAGGGCTTTGGTTGCAACCAGTCAGGAGATCCTAAAACACTTTAGGTTGTGATCAGCAGTAAAATGAAGTGCACAGCACAAGTGCAGCAGCTTCTGGAAAGAGGCTATGGCTGGATATGTGAAAAAAACTCTAAAATCCAGCCTATCTGTAGTCAGCTGCCTCTTCAGCTTCATGGGGTATTGCAATAAGTTCAACACAAGTGTTTTGTATGGTGCAGGGTTTATATCCAGGTAAATTCAAGCAAAATTTGGGCCCAATTCTATCTGTCTTCTGTTTGTTGGTTCATACAAGATGTCTCTGTCACAGCAGCAGACAATTCTTCCTCTTTGTCCCCCACCAGCAGATGAGCACATTAAGGCAAATGCACTGGGCCAGGAATCTCAGCCCAGAACCACCGTTGTTTTTGTCATTCAGATGAAGCTGAAGAATCCTAACTGCACTTACAATAATGATGATTAACCATTATTCCAATAACTACCTCAGCATGATTGATGGATCAGGCTAACTGACAGCCATCCTAGAGAAGCTATTCTTTGGATGTCATTTTCTCCCCAGAGAAGTAAGAAATAACTGAGCAAGTTTCTTTTAGACAAAGAGAGGAAAATGAGCAAACACATGCCCAATGCCATTTGTTTGGACTGCTCTGAAGGTATTCCCCCAATTAAAGGCCAACTACCCCACACTGGGAAAGATAAACCCAGTATATCTGGATATTTGGGGGATCAGACTCCAGTGCCCAGACTGAGTAGGAATAACTGAGGCTCTTATCTGAAGACACTCAAGGAATGCAATAAGCCATCTGTCTTTTGTAAATGCAGATTCTTCTCCACCATTTATTTTACAAAGCACTGGGACAAATTTCTAAAAGAGAATCTGCTGCCTTTCCCTTGCCAGTGAGAGAGGGTTTGGTGAGCAATAGGAAGTGCTAAAAAAGCAGTAAAAAGTGCTGTAAATCCAGATATCAGTTTATCTCTTGGTAAACTTTTCAACTATAAGTGAAATAACTTGAAAGGTAGGATTATTGAACCCCTTTTCCTTTTTTTTTAATTTTTTTTTCAGGGAAAAATTTCCCATTATACATCTCTTAGTGTACATTTAGTCTGTTGCAAACAGTGCCATCACAGTACAAGAAGGAAATAGGAACCTTAACCAACATTGACAAGACACCTTTGTAACTTCTACACATACTCATATGAGGAAGGAGCAACTCTACACATATGAGGAAGGAGCAACTAAATCCAAGGGACCACCAGGCAGCACATCTTTCCTTGCCAGGTCCCACTGAGTGCTTGGAGGCTTTCCCTCCTCCAGGGATGGAAGGGAAGCACCTCAGAGCCAGGCCTGGCCTACGGAAATGGCAGCATCACTGCAGTGGAACAACGCTGCATCACTAGAGGGGTCCAGCTTTTCCCTTCTTCAATTTTAAACCAAGTACACCAAGACAGAAATAAACCCTCCTCCTCAGGGCTGGATCCCTTCCTGCAGGAGGAACCCAGCTCTCAGAGCACGGCGAGGTGTTGACGCGCCTCAGCAACAGCGATTCACTGAGGCCAAACTGACTCAAACTAACGCTGGGGGGGAAAAAAAACCCCCACCTTAATACTGCTGCAGGAGCTTTGCAGTGCAAGTGGTGCCAACAGCAACCCACCAGAGTCGAGGCTCTTACCTGACTCCTTCGTTGAGGTTGTAGAGTTCATGGTCTGGGAGACCCTTACGCTGGAACACCGCTATTACTCCATTGTGGATGCTGAAAGAGGACACAAGGAGACATCAGCACCCAAAAACATTTCAAAAGGCTGTCACCTGATGACTTCTGGTACCCCATGCAAACCCTAAAGGGAATTATTGCCTAGAAAATAGATGACACCTTTGAAAATCAGCTCTTTTTGTTCTGCTACAACTTCGTAGCTTCAACAGTTGCACATCTGAAATCAGTGATTTCAGAAAACTTAGGCCTATGTATTTTAGGTACTTTAAGTGTAACTTTTAATATATTTGCATATTAAGTATTTTGAAGTATAGTTTTTTCTCTGTGGCTCACTACAGAGACAATTAACAGCTTTGCTATGAGATCAGTGGTAATATTCCCAGCATTGTTGGCATGAGTTGTGGTTATTTCATTTCATTATCAACAAGTTATCATTTATACAGGCTAGACACTATACCTGAACTTTTATCCCTAAATATAGCATTCCTTTTCTAGAATGTAATCTCAGAAATTTTTAGTTTTTAATCCCCCCCAAGCTCTATGAATTTTAAGTCCATTTAACCCATCTCTCATTCATTTTTGAAAATGTAACAGTAGAAATGGGGCAACTGGTTACAAAGACTGTTTCCTATTATCACTCGGTCATTTCTCAAAGATTTACACTTCAGCTAAAGGAAAGGCAAGGCTGTGCTGAAAGAACTACAGGTTTAAGAGTTTCTAAGGGGGACAGCAGGAGAGGGTTAGCAGGATGTGCTCAGCACAGGCCAACCATCTGTCCCACAAAAATGCTCCATTTTTGCTGTCAGTGCCATTTGTAACTGTTCTGAAGGCAGATGTTGCTTAGAGGTGATGACTTTCTGCTGCAATCAGGTGCAACCAATGACAGGATTGAGACCAGAGAACTCTCTAGCTCAGTACAAAGCCACACACCCAATGCTGCCTCTGGACACCCGCCCTATGAATTTCAGGATGTTGAGAGACAAAAACCTGCCAGGTACTGCAGGTACCTGGCAATTCACATGCTGAAGCAGAGACACTGAATGGTGCCATGACCTCAGCAAGACTGTACCTCAAAGGATTACTGAAATGACTGTGTGCTTCAAAATGAAGCTCTGAAATGCTCCTGAAATACACTGAAAACAATTAGTGTGGTGACTCATCACCCTAATTCACTGAGCTTAGGTCTGAGGACAAAGGTGAAGAAATGCCAGAGAAAAGTGAGACTAAACCTGTTCCAGCATTAGGAGAATTGTCCTTCCCCAACCTAGTGCCACCTTTTTTAGCCTCACAGTTTTGACTCCAGAAGGAAAGAAGACTCACACAGTCCCTCCATCTGTCAGCTCACCCCCTTTTCTCAAACACTCCTCCACTCTTGTAACTGCTTAGCAACTTCTACCACATTTAACTAGGGAATGGAAGTCCCCAAAACATTAAGGTCTTTTAGGTTTCAGCTGGGGTAGAAGAAGCATCTTTCAGTGACTAAGGACATTCTGCAGGGTGAGCTCAGCCTTTATTTGACATGCACACAAATGCTTTTATAGCTTCCTGACACTAACACACAAAAAAAGCAGCTTTTATCTGCTCCACTGCCTGTGGTACTGCCACATGAATTCCAACATGACTGCTCTTAGTGAAGTGACCCAGTCAGTGCTAGTGGTGGGAATGAAGTTATTTCTGTCTGACTTTACCCTGTGTGTAATATAAAGATGATGCCACAGCTTCTCTGAGCAGCCTGTGCCAGGGCTTCACTGCCCTCACAAGGAAGAATTTCTTCTTAACATCTAATCTAACCCTACTCTCTGTCAGTTTGAAGCCATTCCCCCTTGTCCTGCCACCACATGTCCTTGTAAATAGTCTCTCTCCATCTTTCCTGTAGGCTCCCTTCAGGCACTGGAGGGCTTGGTCAGCTCCAGGGTCAGATCCAGCCACAGGGGGATGATCCCCCTGCAAGGGGATGTCATTGCAGGAGCTGTGCCAGGAGGCAGCAGAGTGTGCCTGGGGCCCTCAGGCACCCACACCAAACCTTCCCGGGTAAAACAGTCCCTTTCAGTGCCTGCTGGGAGCACAGGACTGGGGTGGGAGGTAAGCCTGGCACTATTCACCCAGAGATTCAAAATGCAGGTAACACACTGTTAGAAAAGTTCTGCCACGCTCAGCTGCGGAGAAAGGAAATTAAAAGTGGCAGGTGGAGGGTATGATACACTGTGGAGAAATCCAGAAGCAGATAAAAATAAGAACTATTATCCTCTTCTCTCTCTTGAAGATGTTTCCCTTACACACTCCCCCCACCATGGCAGCCCCTCTTTTCCCTCTCCACCCACGGGCACAGACACACACTCATGATCTCACCCAGCTTATTTTGGCTGGCTCGAACAGACACACTCAATTTACGATTATTTGAAAATTGGCAGCTAAATGTCTCTGGTACACAGTGAAGTGACTTGGGTGTTTTAATATTATGAGTAATATGGGAAGAACGATTAATGTAGTGAATAAAACAAGCAGTCTTTACACGCTCCTCTGATTCGGAAATGAACTTTGCAATGTTCCCTGCCAACCTTCTGCAGAGAACAATGACTAAATATCTCTCCCAAAAGCCAACGTGCTCTCTCTCTTTCTCTCTGGCACTACTTTCTGAGCAAGGGGGAAGTTTTCTCTCTCCAGTTTAACAGGTCCATTATTATTCCTTAAAAAAATAAGAGAGAGTAAGCTTTTTAAACAAGAACTAAGGGGGACAGGTTGTGAGGATTCAAGTTATTGCCTGCATAAAACATCCCAGCAGCGATCTTTTAACCTGCCTGGGATCTCCCTTGCAGTGTCTGGAAAACAAGTCTTGGCCTCACTATGTTGACTTCCTTTCCATTGCAGACAGCAGTGCTTGTATGGAGGGTGCAGGATTACAGTCCCTGGCTGCAGGTGACATTGGAATGCCACTATGGTCTGGCCCTCCACTTGTCCAAGAGGCAACAAAAAGGAACTGGAATAACCAGGATGCTGTTGGTGGCCTCGGTGGCAAGATATTAAAAAGTTGGCTCAAATCTTCTTAGTTACCTTAAGCTAATAAAAAATCCAGCCCTTGCTTGAACCTAAGCAATTCTATGGTTTCTATGAGTGATTGTTTTAAAAGGGTTTGGTCACAATGATACAACCTTTTGGTGTAAAGAAAATCTGAGCTGCTGTTTACAAACAGAAATCCTGCAGGATGCTTGAGGTGGGTGGATCACCTTTACTGTGTCTGTGACCACTCTTCACTGAGACTTAAGTCAATAACGAATGCAATTAAAGTTACATTGTAATAGTTAACCTGAACTGAAAATGCCTTGTAAACTCCCTTCTGTAACTCTTTTACAGTGTCAAAGTTAGTAATGGGTGTACTGATATTACTCTGAACACCTTCCCTGTAGTTGCTGTGTGTGTAAATACGTGCACAAGATCATAGGAAACAAAACAGGGTCCAAAGAGCTGTACAAAGCAGGCTGGCTCTAGGAGGAGAAAACAGGATCAGAAAACTGAAGAGACCATTTTTTTCTGGTGGGGAAACAAAATGTCAGATGGCTCCAGCAATGTATGGTACTTACCTATCCCACAACAGGTACAGATTGACAAAAGAAAACTATGTACAACCAAGGCAGCACTCACAGCCACAAAAATCAAGCCAGCAGCCTAAGAAACTTCACCTCTCTGGAAAGACTACTTATTCTAGATTTGCCTGATCCTCCAGAGAAGGAGGCAGCTCCAGGATTTGTTATTCAGCTGTGCAGGATGTGGGGAATGGCAGCTCCAGCACTCTCAGCACAGACCTTCCCCACCTTTTGCTTCAGCACAAAGGGATCTGGAAGGTGTAAATTCCCGAAGCACAGAGCTGGATCCTCATTGATGTTCTTTCACTGACATTTGGAAGCCAAGAAGTGATCAAAATACACTTTTCTGCCAGGTGAGAATCAGTTTGGTCACAGAGATGAGGAACAACTCCAAAGCCGGACCCACAAGTCTCTAAATCCTGACCTATGCGCTTCAGCTGTGGCCACAGCCCTCCCAGCTCAACATTTCCTGGGAAAAGCATCTGGACTGCCCTATGTTTACATTCATGCACAGCACACAGGTAATTTTAGCTCTCTAAAGCAGCCACTGCCTTTGTATGCAAACAGCATGGGCGAAAATACCACAGTGATTTTTATGTAGTGTTTGCAAATTCTCCCCTTCCCAGAGCTCCAGGTGAAATCCAGGAGCAAAAACAATGCTGTCTGAATGACCACACCCTGTGACTACCAGGCAGTTAAAGACAACATTTTCATTTTCAAAAGGGACTGAATGACTTGGGGCTCATTTCCTCTGGACAGTTACAGGAACAGCTAATTTACAATAATTAACCTGATACACTTCCATCAAAACCTTCCTGAAGACACCCTTGCTACAGAAGAAAACCTAATTTTTCTGAACTAACCTAATCCAATTGGAAAGAGTCCATTTTCAGCACAGCTTCAGTCCAGTTGCAACTGCACAGGCTTTCCATGAGGCTTTGACCCTTTCCAAATAAGCTTCCAGCTGCTAGTTCACTTATGTTCCTGGAATTTCTACCAAGGTAAAGCAACCTGCAAAGAAGGATAGGCTTCAGTTTTGCACTGGATCATGCAACTGGAAATAAGCTGGTCTGCAAAACTCCCTTGTCAAAGAGTTTGGGAGGCATTAGTTCACTAACTCACCAACTACGAACACTTGTCTTACACAAGAAGAAGCTGAGACAGACAGGTGAAGGGACTTCCCAGAAGTGTTACTGAGACTCAGTATTTCTAGAGATTGTAGGACAAAGGAAACTGTGGCATCCAATTATAACTGCATTGAAGGAAGGATAAATAATTATGGAGGGCTATGGGGAGCAGCAATTCTCCATCATCAGCCCGATTCTTACTGCAGTCGAGGCCGGAACATGCTCTGTGGTGCAGTGGTGCTTTGACCAGTGGGAAGTCCTTTCACAATCCCTGTTCCTCCTCCCCATCCCAGTTAAGCCCTGTCTGCCCCCCATGCGCACACTGTGTCAAACATTCCAAACAAAGGGTCATGAAAAAAAAAGGGTGATCCTCAGACAGACAGTAGAATTTCAAAATATTTCTAAATAACCACTAACTATTAGAAAAAAGAAAATTTCCTAGTGGTAGAAGTCATAGATAAATATGCTGGTCTGGAATATCTTCTCCACTAGAAAAGCCTGCCTGTGATCTGAAAAAAACATTAATTTTTAATTAGAAGATGAAATATGGTTTGTATAACTGTAAAAATTACTTTACGGCAAGTTATTGTGCTTATTACAACCCCATAAAAATTAGCCCTAACCATAAAACCCTCTGTGATTCCATATGTCTCCCTGGATTTACTGCTGATCCCACTAATGTCTCAGGCATCTCATCTGTGTTTTCTTCGCCTCCTTTTTGCTGTCTCCCACTCCTTCATGTTTCTGTGGATTTTCCCCATTTTCTTACACCAAAAAGGATCTAAGTGCCTTTGACCAGAGGCTTTCCCACAGCCCAACTGAGACAGTATCAGCTCCTGATTAGGCAGTCTGTGTGAGCTCAGTCAGAACGAAAACCTCGCGATGGATTTTATTTGCCCTGAGAGGGCCCCCTTGGCTTTGCAAGCTCAAGATTAAAACCCCGTGTTTCTCAGTCCAATTGGTTTAGTCAGCATTCAGCCCTCGTTTTTTGCCTGAGGCAGAAGCAGGGGGGAAGAACAGAAGACAATGCTAGTGAAAAAAAATCTGAACTATCTTAATACAATGCAAATTCTGTGAGCTGTAAGGAAACCGTACTGTTCCGCTATGTTGCTGTTGGTTGCTAGTTAACGTGCACCGACGGTGCTCTGCCGCACAGATCTTTTGGGGTTCATGGGAAAGCAGGCTCAGAGAAAGCCATGATATAAAGCCTCATTTGCATAACAGCAGACAGCAGCTCGGGCACCAATTTCCCTTTGATCTCACAGCGCGGAGAAGTTTTAGTTTGGAGGTGAAGGGAAGTTATCAGGGAGAAGAGACCTTCCTTGCTTCCACAGTGCTGCGTGACCTCTGCACGCTGAACATGGCATCAGGCTCCTTCAGCTTGTCCTCCCCTGGTGTCACAGAGCAGCAGGAACCCTCTGGCAAACAGTCTGAGGCTGAGACTGGTCTGAACAGAGCGGAGGTGGTGGAGGGGACATCACTGGGCAGCCAGACCACAGCCACACACCGGGGCACTGCAGAAGGGCAGCTGCACTTCCTCCTCGGAAGGACCCCACAGTGACAGAGCTGCTAACAGATCCCACCAGGATGACTCCAGCTTGAAGCTTTTCAGCTTTTCCCTGGCATGGCTGGAGCAGTATCCTTAGTCTGCCTCAAAAAATCTTCTTTTCAGAAGACCCCTCACACAAGCAGACTTGTATGGGGCCAGGCCCAAGTGGGGTTGCGCTCTAACTCTCCCCACTTTGGTTTTGATGAGCTTGGTTCAAAGCCTCTTTCAAAAGCAGATACACAAATGCCACACCCAGCTAAGGCTGCTAACATTAGGCAAGAAACCAGCAGACATTTAAATATAGAACAGCCAGGCTTGGTGAGAGGGAAAAGCTCTGCCAGTGCACCTCGACTTCTTGATCAGCAAGCTCTTATGGTCAATATTGCACAGAATGAAACAGCACAGGCAATCCTTTTGTTTGGAAGGAAAAATATCCCTGTAAACCGAAGGATGGTGTGCCAGTTCTCTGTTGGGTTGTTTTTAATTTGCAGCAGAAAAATAAAAAGAAATCTTCCCCAGAGCCCAAGATTTTAAAAACCTGGATAAGATTTCTGGTGAGTCCAAGTTCAGATGCCCACTGACATCTCCAGGAGAGATGAACATCAACTCCCTCAAGAGCAGACCCTCCTGTACGTGTCAAGATGGCCACATACTGATGATAGGCAGAAGCTACAATGGATAAATTCTTAATGCAACTAATCCAACAACATTTAAGCCCTGGCTTTTCTGAGGAGAAAGCCCCAGTTTTACAGCCTGTAAACTACCTGAGTTTCTTAAAATCAACAGGGAATACAAGCCTTTCTGTGCCTGAAAGAAGCACCACCCTCACTCTCACTCAGGAGAAAGCCTTGCACTGTTAAATAAGAAATAAGATGTCTTCCCTTTGCCCATGGCTCGTAATCTGGACTACTTGCCACAGCTTTAGGCAGCTCTCAGTGCAGGCACGCGGTGCCCACTTGACCTGACACCACACAACAGCCCTGCCAGTGCTCCCAGGGCGTTTTGGAGGCACGTGCCACCAAACAGCAGGGACAGCCCAGCAATCCCTGCACAGGGAAAAGGCAAGCCAGGGCAGGAAAACATAGACTGAATCCATGCAAAGCAGGGACAGGATGACTGGCAGACACCTATTCCAGGAACAGGCGGTGGGACAGTTGTTTAGTTGTTTGGACGAAACGTGCAGATGTCTAGTTCAATGACACTTCTGGCTAGAGTTATACCTGTCCTGTCCAAATTAAAGTAACAAACTCTTGCTCCATCTCAGTTAGGAAAACCCTCTGGTTTGAGTATCAGCAGCCCCTGTGCCTGCGAGTCTCCCCCTCCCAGCTAGCCTGGTGTCTCACCTGCTCCCCATTCACATCTGCCTCCACAGCTCCCTCCCTGGAAGCAGGACCTGGAAAAGCTAATCCCTGCCAACAAAAGCTGCCAGCACACCATCAGAAAAAGGCTGTGGGGACTGTGTTCTGTCACCTTGATTCACACCAAGGAGTATATTACTCCCTGCTGCTTCCCGTGAGGCTGCTGGCCAAATAAAGTCCAACTGGCACAAAGGTTGCCCAGTCTATCCTTTAATTACCACCACTATCCATCCAGATCTCGGGTGCAACTCTGGGTCATACAAACAGCGTGATCTTTGAGTAGAAGCTCAGTCTCCTTTGTGACCAGCACAGTTTCAGTGTTCAGTGCTCTGCTGCCATTCAACAACTAATTCTTGACGCTGACATGAAACCACAAATGAAGAGGTGAGAAGGACAGAAGATGTGGTATTTTATATAGTTCATTTCTCTCAAAACTGAACTACCTTTAACAAATGTGTCTATAGTCCACTGGTATTTTTCTTCCTGCACTTGTACCGCCATACAATTATAAAACATTACAAATGACACTTTCCAAGCTGTGACCCAGGAGATGACATTTCGTTTTCAAAAATGACTTGAGAATTTAATTCCTAACAACTTAGAGACTCATGTTCATCTTTTAATAGTGTCACCAAGACAGTCATTAAGATGCTTTCTGAATAATTGGCATTCACAATAAAATGTTTGTATGGGTTTTCTTGTAAAAAAGTCATAAAATTCAAATGTATAAACACAATAAAGGAAACAAGCAGGGCTTACTTTTTCCTGTCCAAAGTGCGAGTGCTTGCGTGTGTACATACACACACACAGAGTAATTATTATTATTTGTAATAATGGGAGTAAATTGAGTAGACTTCCTCATATCTGTATCAACAACCAGCAACATAGTTACGCTGATAACAACAATGTATTTTAATAGCTGTGTGTAATTTTCAAAAAGGCCAAACTAAAATAAAGCTTGAATGAGAGTATCTGGATAGACACAAAGTCATATTTGCAGCCGGGCCCCGTGAAACAAGTCTCTGTCTGTCAGGAGGAAGGCTGAGCCATCTGCAGGGAAGGCTCTTTGCTGTCAGCCTTCAGAGAAAGGTCGGCAGCGATGAGGGAAAGCGCCGCTCCCGCTTCCACCTGCACGAGAACGGCGCTCCACGCCGAGGCTGGGACGGGAGCCAGGCATTCCAGCCTGGGAGCCAGCAGAGCGGACACCCGAGCGGACACCGGCACGTTAATCCCGGCAGGAGCGCGGGGAGGGCTGCGGGGAGCCGGCACGTGGAGCGAGCCCTTACCTGTTCCAGGTAGCGTTGGAGCAGGCCCGGCGCTGCTGGGTCCCCCGCTCATCCAAGGCTGCCTGCTCTCTCTTGCCCAGATCACTGAGGCTGGGCGAACTCATGAACTTCAACCTGCGAAGAGTCCTCATGGTCAAATGTGTGTTTGCGCGTGGCAGCTACAGATACACCATCCTGTTTACACACACACACGCGCGGTGGGGCAGCGGCAGCAGCGGCAGTGCGGGCAGCTCCCTCCGTCTGCTGTTCAAAAAAGAAACTTAAAAAAAAAAGAAGAGAGAACCAGTCTCTACGGAGCACACCTCTGCCAGCAAGAAAACAAACCTTTAATCAGATCAACTCTGACGTCATCAACTGTGGTTAATAATTTTCTCCAGTCCTTTAAAAAAATAAAAGTCAAACTTCTGGCGGCTGCTGCTGCAGCACTTGGAAGGGGCCCTTGCTGTCCCGAGTGTGAGGGCTTCCCCTCCCCCTGATCCCGGGCACCACGTCCCGGGAATCTCGCTCAGTGCCGCGGTGCCGTGCTCCACCTGTCATGGGAACTGCTCGGCTCCTCCAGCGGCTTCGGGGGCTCTCAGGGCATTTCCCATTCTCTCCCCCTCTCTCTGTCTCTGCACTCATAAATGGAAATGAAACTGGAGGGCAACGGACAGGAAAAAAAAAAACCAACAACAAAAAAAAAAACCAAAACCAAAACAAAAGAAAAAAGCAAACCAACCAAACCCTAAGCAACCAATACTGACGCACTGAGACTATTGGAAAGTTTCATAACTGGCTGTGCCCTGCCACGTTACGACACTACACACACGCTCACACAGACATATCCACACCCTCCCTTCATCGTACACACTCAGCTGCCTCCCAGGCTGCTCCTCCTCACGGTGCCACAAAGCCACAGGACGGCAAAGGGTTCACAAGCAGCATGACTATGGAGTGAAAAGGGCTGGTTTGGGGTTCAGCATTTTGAGGAATATTTGGTGGAGCACAGAAGAGCCAGATGCTTTGTCTTTCTTGCCTTTTTTTTTCCTTCGGTTTGTTTTTTTTTAATTGAGATAACAGCTGCACGACTCAGGGCATACTTCGTTTCTACAAAAGCCCCAGGTGTCTTATCTTCAAAGGAAAAATCTCCTTTCTCTCCCTGACTGCAGCAGTCAGCTGAAGGATATGCTGCTACAAGACTCCAGCCCATGCTTAGCTCGCTGTCACTCACTGGCAGTTCTGCTTTAAATTCAGGAGTGCCTGGCTCATCTGCTGGGAAGTAATGTAACAAAACAGTGATTAGCTTTCTCAGAAAAAGAATTGTTTGCAACAGACTGAGCCAGAGTGTAAGAACTGCTTTCTGTTGCTACGGCATTGGTCTGCAAATAGTCTGGTAAAAGCCACGAAGGCTCCTTGCAGAGTAACCTCCCACTCACTGCAAAGGGACTGCAATATAGAACTTATTCTTTCTTTTTCTTTTTTCTTCCTATTTTCTACTTACTCTTTTCATCTGTGATAACCTATTGTCCAGATTCAGGCCATAATTACATTTACTGGTGTCCAAACAATATGGCAAACCTGAGTTTCTCTCAGAGAGCTGTGCCTTATGTGCATCATTTACTGACATATTTTAGTAAAAAGCAATTTATCTTACTATTCACCCAAAGTCAGGTAACATTATTGCATGTAAATATTCACTTCCAAAGTTTGTATTTGATATTACCTCCATGTGAACCAGCTGCAGAACTACCTAGGGAAATAAATCCATTTTTACTTTATGTTGGTTTTAGCAGTAGTGGTTTTATCCAGCTGCTTGGATTAGCATTATACTGACTGCCCTTCCCACACCCAAATCCTCACGTATAACTCTCAAGTTTACAAACAAGCATCACTCTAGATACCACATAACGTTTCACTTTGTAAGGGACCTGCAGCTCCATGTCTAACCCATGTACAAAGACATTTCTATCTGTGGTCTCTTCCAGATGTTTAAATCCTTCAAACAAACAAACATGCAAACAATCCACTCTGTACACGGCAGCAGAAGGAAAACAAACACAACAATATATGGCTGTATTCTAAGGAATGAGATGGCTCCTACAGCATACAAATCAGGGCCCAAGCACAGCTCCAGCAGAACACTGCCCTGTTCAAATCCAGTGAAGGGCACTCCATTTCTGTGGATAACACAGCCAGGGAGCACAACTCGGGCTGAGCTCCTGCTGAGGGCTCAGATAAAACGTGTGTCTGCCCTGCTAAGTGAAATAACCAGTTAGATAAACCCGTGGCAATATAATGCCACCTAATTTCATTTTCCAGCTAGCTCGGTTGCTTTTCTGCTTCTCACTTTCCATGAATTTGATAGGCCTTGCAAAATGTCACCATACTGGATTAAACCCTGGGAATTTTTAACTCTTTGATTCCTTGGCAGCACCAGAGACTTTACAAACTGTATCCTGATGGTGCCAGTATGTCAGCATCCACCTACTAATGTTTCATCTGCTTTTTTCCCCTAAAATCCTCAACTAGCTAATTGACTAAATGCAAGGAGCTGCTGTGTCAGCCTTGGATACACCAGACAACGCTGCAAAAAGCAGTTCTTTGCTTCCTCATAAAATGCCGAATCCCAAGAGAAGGGGAGGGGTGGGGAAATCTCTTTCCTTCTGAATGGTGAAATATTACACCTATAGAAGTCAGTTTATTTTTATGCCACCCATCCACCTCAGTAACCAGGACTAGATTCAGAGCCTATGCATGCAAATACATGGGAGAGCCAGCATTCCAGCAGCCTGAAAATTTCCTGCTTGAGGTTAACAGGCTTTCTCTACACTTCGTTCTCCTTTCGGCGATTTCACCTGATCAAATGTTGATTTATGATAAAATAAATCATTTTCAACACGTGTTGCCTCCACCCATAATTGCAGGGTAATACTTCACGTTTTCCCTGAGCTCTGTGTCCAAGGCCACCCTTGACTGCCCGGCATTACCTCGGCCTGAGCAGCCCTTGGGAATGAAGGGAAAAGAGGTGATCTGCACTTCAGCTTTAAGGGTGAAGAAGAGGAAGGGGCTGTGACTTGCCCAGGCCACCCCACGATGTCCCAGGGCCTCTGCCTCCTGTGCCAGCACACTACACCAAGTGCTGCCGGGAGGGAAGGGAGTAATGAGAAGCCTTCCCGTAGGCTCAACACAAGCTTCTTCAATAGAACAACTGCACTCAGCTCAGTCACAGAGCTGAGACTGGAAAGCAGCGTTACCTCAGTTCACTTGAACGCAGCAAGCTGTACCCGCTGCTAATTCCACCACTTCCCTCAGCTCCAAGGTTAAGGGACTGAACCAGAGCCATGCAACCACCTCGGTGTGGAAGACACATCCTAACTCCTGCTCCCTCCCTTCCCCTCCAACATCTCTCCTCATAAAACCAGGCCCGTCTCTACTAGACACCCTTCTTTCATCTGTGGGGCCCACGTCCTGTGGGGACCACACGGCAAGTCCCGGAGCCACCAAAGTGCCGGGAATTTCTGCTCACCTGGACTTTCTACTTCGAGGCCTGAAACAACATGCAGGCTGGGAGTCCAAGAGGATTTATGCTGTTTTTAGAAGACAGTGTTAGCCTACAACTCCAGGACCTCACAGCAAACATGGCTTTTAAAACAAGGGTAATTCCGCAATCACCTCCTGGTCAGCCTGCAACGTCTGCAGTATTCTCCCTGGGAGCTGTGGTTTTAAGATCATATTGCTGTCCCTAGCAAATGTTAAAAAAAAAATCCAGGCACATGTCCCCAAGTATATATGTGGTTTAAAAAGAATGAGATTTGCTAAAAAAAAAAAAAAAAACCCGAACAAACAAACAAAAAGGAAAATAAAAAGAAGATTAAACCCCCTACATTTTATTTATGTAATGATAAGTTAATTTTTACAGTATAATTGTATTGTCTTCTTAAAAGTTTCTTTTTTACCATGATGTGTGTGTGGGGGAAACATTAAGAAATTCACAACATAAGAAATTTATAATAAAGTTGCCAGTGCTGTGACTGCTGTGGGCCAATGTCTTTTAGGCCACACCACTCTACTGCTGCAATTGCAGGTGAGCACTGCAGCGATATCAGTGCCAGAGAGAGGGTATAAACAGCAAGAGAATTTGCCATCTTGGCTTGCCATGTAAAAGAACCTGACATGCAGAAGAACAACTCAATAAAAATTTTAATTAAAAAAAAAAAAAAAGCCCCTTATTTCACTTTGTCTCCCCATCTCTTTTGGAGAAGAGAGCAGAACTCCCCATGGTGAGGCTGAGTGGTGTCTGCTCTGCGAGCAAAGAACAGAAAGGTAAAGCACATCTATGGCAGAAAGGAGTTAAAAACCTCCCTAGACAAATGCATTTTAGTTTTTCATAAAACACACCACAAAACTGAGGGCATGCCTTGACATATGCCAAAGCTCAGGAATTAGTTCTCTGACAAAACACTTCTTAAAGGCACCGCATGTCCTGCTGCGCCAGCAGAGGAGAGGAAAGGTAGAAAGGAAGGAGATGGGACCATCAGGAAAAAAATAAAGAGAGCCGGGGGGAAATGCAGTTGTAAACCTTATGACTCATCAATTCCTTTCCTGCAATATCCACATAAAGCTCCTTTATCCTCAGAAAACAAAGAATAAAGAGAGTAAAGAAAGTATGAAACCAAGCAGGCTCTACTGACACCCTTCCTCCTCCATCCCACTGACTCTCTGCAACCTCTGGAGATAAAGGCGCTCTCAAGGGCAGTTTCTGGCTGTTGTTTATCGAGGTTGGTCATAGCACAGCCTTGGGTTTGCCTGATTTTTGCCCTCTCCACATGATTTGATTCATAAGAGGGGACATGGGCTTACTTACACTTCTCCTTAATCTTTGGAACACCTCCTGCATACTCCTGCACTTCACATCCTGTGACCAATCCTGCCAACATGACCACAGCTGCCTCCAACCCTTTGGACAGAGCTGGGCTCTCTGCCCCTTCACCTGCATGTGGGACACACATGGGGTTTGTCTTTTATGTTGTGAAAAGGAACACCCAAGACAGCATCTCCTTCCTGAGCACGCAGAAGGTGACACCTAAGAAGAGCCCTTTGGTTACAGTAGAAAGGGATGCTCTGGCAGTTTTTAAACATAAAGGAAAAAGGAGACCAAAATGTTGGTACTGACTCAGTGTTTGCAAAACACTCCTTAGCTGGCTCTGGGTGAATCAAGGCTTTATGTTTGAATTGTGAGTTCTTCTTTACCCTTTTCCCTTGGTGTTTGTACTTCAGGCA